CCAATAAAATAGACCAAATAGCAATCCTGCCTGAAAACTCTTTACTGAAACAGTGAGTCACTTATTGGGACCACAAGATGTATTTTTAAGCAACTTTTACTCTATTTTTTGGTAACAGGAATTACTGAGAAAAAGTTAACTTTTTGTAATTCTTCTAAAAATTTTGATCTACTAAAATCAGAAGGATTCTGATTTGTAAAACAGGTTCTTACTTTAAGAAAACAAAATATGCCTGTAATCCCAGCACTGTGGGAGGCCTAGGCGGGTGGATCACGAGGTCAAGACATCGAGACCATCCTGGTCAACATAGTGAAACCCCATCTCTACTAAAAATACAAAAAGTTAGCTGGGCATGGTGGTGTGTGCCTGTAATCCCAGCTACTCAGGAGGCTGAGGCAGGAGACTTGCCTGAACCCAGGAGGCGGAGGTTGCGGTGAGCCGAGATCGCACCATTGCACTCCAGCCTGGGTAACAAGAGCGAAACTCCGTGTTAAAAAAAAAAAAAAGAAAACAAAATATAATAAATTCTGAATGCACAGAATTACAGATAATATTAAAAAACTTATTTTATGTAACAAGGTATTTTCAGTGTAAGAGGTAATTAGTGATTTGACATAAAGTCAGATTTTATAAGTGATTTGACATAAAGTCAAATTTTAATATAATGAAACTAATTAGAGGTGCTGGGGCACTTTAAAAGTCAAGGAACTTAAAAAATATCTTGGCATGAGAGGAATTCCTAATGTTTGACACAGGTCTGGAGGAATTAAGATGGTTAGAGCATGAGAGATAGAACTTCTGGTAGAGGTTATAAAATACAGTTGATAGAACCTGTCAACGTATATGACATTCTATAAACCATGGAGTTGGTCAAAGAGTAGTGCTGGGGAAAATCTGTAAGTAAAATATATTCTATATTAACAACAGAAGTAGACAGAAAATCAGACTGATTTGTGGTTTAATTTGGTGAAATCCATGAACTCTATGAAGTAATGAATAATTGAATTGAACATAACAACACAGAGACAATACTTCAGAAGGAAAATATATACACAAAAACAAAACTGAATGCTAAAAATCAATAAGCAAAGAATATCACAATTATTAACTAGTTAATGTAAACATTAAAAAAATCACAAATTTTTTGGCCAAGCAAGGTGGCTCATGCCTGTAATCCCAGCGCTTTGGGAGGGCGAGGCCAGAGGATGCTTGTGACCAGGAGTTTGACATCAGCATAAGCAACATAGGGACACTCCATCTCCACCAAAACACACTAACAACCCCCATTTTACAATTTTGGTGCTTATTGCTTTTTCTAAGCAAATTTGGAAGCAAGATTGTAAATGATTATATATTGTTTTGATATATCTGAATGAGAAGATGATTTAAAGCAGGTTATTTTAAAGCTTAAAAAAATTTAGACCTTCTAATCCAGTCTCTTCCAATTTCAGATGGTGGACAAAGGACCTTATACTATTTCATATAGCTGCTTATTAGTTAAATACAAATGTCCAACCAGTGGCTGGGCACAGTGGTTCATGCTTGTAATCCCATCACTTTGGGAGGCCGAGATGGGCGGATCACTTGAGTTCAGGAGTTTGAGACCAGCCTAGCTGAAATGGTGAAACACCATCTCTACTAAAAATACAACAAATCAGCCGGGTATGGTGGCATACGCCTATAATCCCAGCTACTTGGGAGGCTGAGACACAAAAATCGCTTGACCCTGAGAGGCAGAAGTTGCAGTGAGCTGAGATTTTGCACCATTGCGCTCCAGCCTGGGTGACACAGTGAGACTCTGTTACAAACAAACCAACCAACAAACACACACAGATGTCCAATCAACTGGCCTATTAAAAAAAAAAAATGGCAGTGTCAGGTGAAAAGGGCAGTAGCTTCTTTTTTTTTGAGAGAGAGACTTTCCCTGTCACCCAGGCTGGAGTGCGGTGGCGTGATCTCGGATCACTGCAACTTCTGCCTCCCAGGCTCAAGTGATTCTCCTGCCTCAGCCTCCAAAGTAGCTGTAACTACAGGCATGAGCCACCATGCCCAGATAATTTTTGTATTTTTAGTAGAGCTGGGGTTTCGACATGTTGCCTAGGATGGTCTCAAACTCCTGATCTGAAGGTATCCTACCAGCTCAGTCTCCCAAAACGTTGGGATTATAGGCATGAACCACAATACCCAGCCAATAGTTTCAGTTAAATGCATCAGCAAAGGGAAGCCTTAAGATTACAGAAGTATTTAAGAAAAAAAATCAGAAGACCAATGATAATGACTATTGTGGCTTATTTTTACGTGAGAGACATAGGCCTTTTGCCAATTCATAGAATAACATCTCTAGATTTTTCTCAAAATAACACAGACTTAAAGAAAAAAAGCCAGATGCAATGGTGAGCACCTGCAGTCCTCACTGCTCAGGAGGCTAAGGAAGGAGGATCACTTGAGCCCAGAATTTTGAGTCTGTAGTGAGCATGATCATATGGATAAATACCTACTGCACTCCAGTCTTTAAAAAAAGAATATTTTTTGAAACTAAATTGTCAGATATGTGAAAGGTTGATATAGCATATGCTAAGACTGAAAAAAAAAATGGAATGACAATTTGGTAGTGATCTCTAAAAATGCTAGTTTTAGTCGCTCACTTACAGGTCAGTAGGTTTTCAGGACTGCCTATCAGCATGTTTTTTTAAATTAAAAAGAAACCCCACAGGTGCAAGAGTAAAAAATTTTAATAGGCTGGGTGCAGTGGCTCATGCCTGTAATCCCAGCACTTTGGGAGGCTGAAGAGGGCGATTCACAAGGTCAGGAGTTCAAGACCAGCCTGGCCAATATGGTGAAACCCCACCACTACTAAAAATACAAAAAAAATTAGCTGGGCATGGTGGCATATGCCTGCAATCTCAGCTACTTGGGAGGCTAAGGCAGGAGAATTGATTGAACCCGGGAGGCAGAGGTTGCAGCGAGCCTAGACTGCATCACTGCACTCCAGCCTGGGTGATAGAGTGAGACTCTACCTCAAAAAAAAAAAAAAAAAGTTAATGACCTAATTCTTCAAACATTTGCCACGTTCACTCCAAGTGTGCTCTTTGTATACAACAACAGAAATTATTCTCATCCAAGCCTGCTGTTATATCTGATTTATAACAAAATTTTATATCGATATTTTAATATATCAATATTTCATGGCATTAATACAAAGAGAAATTTGACTCCCCGGAAAAATATTTACTTAGATAAATTCAGAAACCATTGTACAACCAGAATGGGAGAACAAGGGCTGGAGAAACAAAATAGGTGTGAAAAATAAGCCAAGAAACTAAATTTGGTTCACGCATGTAATCCCAGCACTTCGGGAGGCTGAGGCAGGAGGACTGCTTGAGCTCAGGAGTTCGAGATCAGCCTGGGCAACAAGTGAGCCCCTGCCTCAAGGAAGAAAAAAATTAGCTAGGAGTGGTGGGGTTTGCCTACAGTTCCAGCTACTAGGAGGCTGGGGCAGGCGGATCTTTTGAGCCCAGGAGGTTGAGGCTACAGCCAGTGGCAACAGTGCCACTGCACTTTAGGCTGGGTAACAGCCTGAGACCCTGTCTCAAAAAACAAACAAAAACAAAGAAACCCAAACCAAGCCTAAAACCCCCTAATATTTGCAAATAGAAAGTTATGTAGTAATAACATCCATTAACTTGATGCATCTTCTTTTGACATAGTCATCACTTACTGTTTCAATGAAATGATAATAAAACAATATAATAAAGTATCCCAAGTTGAATGCTTAAAAATAATTGGAATAAAAACTGAAAAAAAATTGCTTTTTCTGGGCCTTCAATATGAAATAAATAAGTTAATTACTACACGGTTAAGAGTCATTAAGAGTACAATTTTTATAGGCCTGCAATAGGCACACGTGGACAGGAAGACTTTTCAGCAGTCCACTCCCCCAAAACTGAATTTGCATTTCCGTGAGGTTATAAATATGTTCTTCACTATAGAAAAACTCAACTTAAAAATTCATGTTCTAGGGACTCAAACAGCAGTCGTAATACATGAAAACTGCAAAGGATATTCTGCATAAAGGGTCGTTAACATCTCACAGGCCAAACAGCCCTCTCAAAAACAACTCTGAAAGGAAAAGGTTCCCTGGGTGCTGTGCGTTTGCATATGTCCATATGTGTATACAAAAGAGGGAGAACGAACACGAGAGAGGGAACTCGAGTCTGAAGTACTGTGATGTGGGCAGGGTGCTGCATAATACTGAAGGAAATAAGTCTGCTGGTGGAGAAAGATGCACAATTAATTTTCCAAAAGGAAGATGCGTAGGTGCACCTGACGTTATTCTACAAAAGATGCTTCTGCAGGGTGGGAGTGTTGGGAAGCATGGTCTAGTGAGACAGAATTAAAAAGGTGGAGAGCAGGTGATCGCTGGATCCCTAATGTTCAGCAAGGGGCACGCATCCACATAATGCGGGAACGAATGAATAAATGAACGCGGGGTAAAAGCAGCTTACGCTTGGGGAAGGTAAGAGTCTGCAGAGAAGGTCTTGGGGAGAAAAAGCAAAGAAAACAGAGGGAAGAGGCCGAACCCTCAGTGTCAGGAGAATGGGTGGCTTCAGGGTTCGTGAAAGCACTGACCAGAGAGAACTCGGTGCCGGGCCAGTTGACTCGGAAAGGGATGTCATCGCTGAGCGGAGGGAGCGCTCGGCCGCCGCCGGACGCTTCCAGGAGGCCGCAGAGGACCAGTAACACCGGCCCGCCAGGGACCAGACTCCGTACGCCGCCGCCTCCTTCCTCCATCCTCCGCCGCCGCTTTCTCCAGCCACCGCCACAATCTCCTCTGCTGGAGGAGGAGAGGAGGAGGAGGTGGAGGAGGAGGAGGAGGAGGCGGCGGGACTATAAAGCGCCCGGACAGCCTGGGCCCAACCGCCGCCACGTCTCCTTCCGGAGAGCCCGGCAACACCGTCTCCGCCCCCTTGAGCCCGTTGTCTCAGCTTCCGGGGCAGACGACAATCAACATCCGGGGGCCGCGGAGCCGTCTGCCTACGGGAGCCGGGACGTCGGCAGCGCCTCACTCCTTTCGGACCACGGCAGCGTGGCGGTGGGGATCGGAAGCTCTGGCCTTCTGGGACGCGGCACTAGGAGACCCGGCCTCGGATCAGCCTTTTCGGCGTAGAAGCGGCAGCACGGTAAGCCGGTGAGTCCCGGAGGCGGTGGCCGCTTCCTGAAACCCCTCGCGCTGTTTTCCGGTGGGTGGGCAGAGGTTTGGCCCGCACGGAGTGGTAGCGCGAAGACGGTGTGAGCCGTGCGGGTGCGGGTTTTTAGATGAGAAAATTCGCAGTAGCAGCGACACGTGAGAAGCGGCCGTGTTCCTGACTGCCCAGCCTCCTCGCTGCTTTTTTTTCTTCTTTTTCTCCTCATTTGGCATTTGTACATTCATCTTTCCCGCCTGAAGCTTCTCTCCACCTCTGCTGCTGTAGGCCGTGGGCATCTCGTTACTTAGCAGCTTCTGAGGAACGCAGGGCAGTTTGTTGAGCGACTGCAACTCTGTGTCGGGGGAAAGCTGGGGTGAGGAAGCCCGCCATCTCCCACCCGCGGAGTACTGCGTGCCTCGGAATTCGACATGGCGGGAGACTCTCCTGGAATGGGCGGCTAGAAATCACAACCCTACATTTCTACCCCAAGTGGGCCTCCTCCATCTCTAGAGTGAAGTGTTGGCATATTGTTTTATCCAGGAAGCCGATAGAGGTTCAGCGCCAGGTGAATGTGTGGTTATGAACTGTCACGTCTGACTGCATCCCAAAATTAGACCAAAAGTTTTGGTTCCCCACCCCCTCTTTAGAAAAAAAATGCCCTTGTCTGTTTTGATCTCCAATATGAGGGACATACAGTGTTGGCTTTAGAGCAATTACCATTCTCTTACTTCGAGGTGGGAAAAGCTGGAAAGTCTTGCTAGATCTGTTAAAAGACTGGTCGCCCCGCGCCGCCATTCCTCAGATTTGAACCAAGTCAAAAAGCAGGAGGAAGAGTCCCATTTTCCATCTTTAAAAATTTCTTTTTAAGATAAGGAATCCACAGTATCAAAGAAAATAACTTTGTTCAGAATCGTTTTTCCCTAATTGTATTCAGCATTTCCTATTAATGCTTAATGTGTGCCAGACCACTGGGAATTTTCTTCTTGTTTGTTTTGAGACAGAGACTCGCTCTGTCACCCAGGCTGGAGTGCAGAGGCATGATCTCTGCTCACTGCAACCTCCAACTCCCGAGTTCAAGGAATTCTTTTTTCTCAGCCTGACAAGTAGCTGGGATTACGGGTACGCACCGCCACACGCTAATTTCTGTAATTTTAGTAGAGGTAGGGTTTCTCCACATTAGCCAGGCTGGTCTCGAACACCTGACCTCGGGTGATCCCTCCGCCTCAGTCTGGGATTACAGGCCTGAGCCACTGTGCGTGGCCCCACTGGGATTGGTAAAATGGCAAATAAATGAGTTTCTGTCTTCAGTCTCTCAGTCTAGCCAGGGAGATTGTAGAAACAAATAACTGCAAACTATTGTGGTAGTAATAACAGTTAATCTTTTTTTTTTTTTTTTAGCATTTATTCTGTGCTAAGCATTCTAAGTACTAGGCTAAGTGCTAGTCCAAGTCATGAAGGAAAAGAGATATATTTGACTAAATAAGAATGTAAAGTTTTTGTGAGGTCCTGTTTTAGCAGTTAGGGCTATAGTGATTGAATCTGTGCTCAGTAGAACTGATGTTCAAGTAGGAGGGGCACTTACATAAGTAAAATAATTTCTGGTATTGGTAAGTGCTGCAAAGACACTAGGATTGTGTGAAAAAGAATACCTGTGGGATGTGTTGCTTTTGGTAGGTAGGTCAGAGGAGACTTCTGTGAGGAAGTGTCCCTTGAGCTGTGACTTGAATGATGAAAAGAAGGGAGCCACACACCAGGTAGAGGCCCTGAGTCAGGAATGAGCTTGATGGTGCTGGAGTGATAGAAAGAATGTCACTTGAGCTGTGATTTGAATGATGAAAAGAAGGGAGCCACACACCAGACAGAGGCCCTGAGTCAGGAATGAGCTTGATGGTGCTGGAGTGATAGAAAGAAGGCCAGTGTGGCTGGAGTGTAAGAGGAAAGTGGTAGAAGTAGTTTGAGAGGCAGAAGGAGGCCAGGGAGACACAGTTCTATAGGCAGGAAAGTGGACAGGACCTGATGTACATTTGTGAAGATCATCATGGCTGCTTTGTGGAAAATTGATTATTGCGCGTGTTGTGGGTTGAATTAATTGTATTCCCCAAAAGGATATGTTTAAGTCCTATCTCCCTGAATCTGTGACTGTAAACTTACTTGGTATAGGGTCTTTGCAAATACTATTCAAGTTAAGCTGAGGTCATACTGAATCAGAGGGATCCCTAATCCAATGACTGGTATCTTTATAAGAAGAGGGAAATTTGTATACAGACGGACACACAGGGAGAATGCCATGCCATGAAGGAGGAGGCAGACGTTGGAGGGATGTGTCTATAAACCAAATATTGCCGGTAATCACCACAAGCTAGGAAGAGGCAAGGAAGAATTCTTCCCTAGCGCTTTCAGAGAGAGCATGGCCCTGCTGACATCTTGATTTCCGACTTCCGGTTTCTAGAATTGAGAGAAATTTATGTTGAATAAGCTACTCTGTTTGTGGTGATTTGTTACAGCAGCCCCCAAGAAGGTAATAGAGGGTGAAAACCAAAATGTATGTAAGAAAAGTCTCAATCAATTTAGAAGTTTTTATTTTGTCAAGGTTAAGGACATGTCAGTGATACAGCCCGAGGAGGTGCTGACAACATGTGCCCAAAGTGGTCAGGCTATAGCTTGGGTTTTATACATTTTAAGGAGCCATAAGACATCAGTCAATACAGGTCTTATATGCTTTATTTATATATTGATTCTTAAACATTGAAAATCTATAAACTGCTGGGCATGGTGGCTCCTGCCTGTAATCCCAGCACTTATGGAGGCCAAGGTGGGTGGATTACCTGAAGTTGGGAGTTTGAGACCAGCCTGACCAGCATGGAGAAACTCTGTCTCTACAAAACATATAAAATTAGCTGAGCATGGTGATGCATGCCTGTAATCCCAGCTACTTGGGAGGCTGAGGCAGGAGAATTGCTTGAACTCTGGGAGGCAGAGGTTGCTGTGAGCTGAGATTATGCCATTGCACTCCAGCCTGGCAACAAGAGCAAAACTCTGTCTCAAAGAAAAAAAAAAAAGGCCAGGTGCTGTGGCTCACACCTGTAATCCTAGCACTTTGGGAAGCTGAGGTGGGTCGATCACCAGAGGTCAGGAGTTCAAGACCAGCCTGGCCATCATGGTGAAACCCCACCTTTAAAAAAAAACAAAAAAAAAAAAAACAAAAAAAGAAAAGAAAACCCATAAACTACCATGCAAGCATCATATACTATAAAACCAGGAAGTGTGATTGACTCTGCAGTGAAAAAATGTAATTCTGCCTCTGCTAATGAAGATATCCTATTAGCTTCCTAATAATGGTACTATATTTGCTTAAATGAATTCATTTTGCTCCTGAAGCTATATTTCCAGCTCTCACACATGTAATTTAGACTAATTACATGCCTGTTTTCTGAGATTTTTTTGTGTCATCTCTGGGTTAGGTCTGCTGCTTTATGTATTCCATGCCCTCATTTGTAATAGATTTCTTCCTACCTTGTTGGGGTATAACTAATTTCAAGCAATTTTTTCAGAAAGGATTAAACAGTTGATTTCCACAGGCTTCATATGTCTGAATCCCTTTACCTTGCCTGCTTATTTAATTGATAACTTGCGCATAGACTTAGTCCACAATCATTTTGTTTTCCTCAAAACTTTGAAGACATGCTGTTGCTTTTTAGCGTCTAGTGTATCTGATGACAAGTCTAATGCCAGTCTCTTTTGCAGGTATCATACTATTTTCTCTGGAAGATTTTATTAGACTCTTTATCATTGGTTCTGTGATATTTTATGAGAGTATTTCTAGGTGGTGAGTCTTTTTTTCATTCATCCTTCTTGGCACTCTGAGTCCTGTTTTTCACTTCTGGGAAATTTTCTTCAATTATTTCTTTAATTATGTTCTTACATTTTCTCTGTTCTGTTCAGAATTTAGTTTCTTCCAAATACATTTAGATAGAGTCTTCGAAATACAGAGGAAAAGATAAAAAGAAAAAAATACATAATGTGAGGGATTAATCCAAGAGTTCCATTTCCTTTCAATTCTTTTCACTTTCTTTTTTCAGTGGTTGTGCGCGCTCTCTCTCTCTCTCTCTCTCTCTCTCTCTCTCTCTCCCTCCCTCTCTCTCTCTCTCTGTGTGTGTGTGTGTGTGTGTGTGTGTGTGTGTGTGTATTTTAATTATTTTATTTTATTTTTATTGCACTTTAGGTTCTGGGGTACATGTGCAAAACATGCAGAATTGTTGCATAGGTACATATACGGCAATGTGGTTTGCTGCTTCCATCCCCCCTTTCACCTATATCTGGCATTTCTCTGCCTGTTATACCTCCTCAGCCTCCCTACCCCCTGCTGTCCCTCCCCTATTCCCCGCCAACAGACCTCAGTGTGTGATGCTTCGCTCCCTATGTCCATGTGTTCTCATTGTTTAACACACGCCTATGAGTGAGAACATGCAGTGTTTGTTTTTCTGTTCTTGCGTCAGTTTGCTGAGATTGATGGTTTCCAGATTCATCCATGTCCCTAGAAAGGACACGAACTCATCGTTTTTGATGGCTGCATAGTATTCTGTGGTGTATAGGTGCCACATTTTCCTTGTCCAGTCTATCATGGATGGGCATTTTGGTTGGTTCCAGGTCTTTGCTATTGTAAATAGTGCCGCAATGAACATACGTGTACATGTGTCGTTATAATAGAATGATTTATAATCTTTTGTATATATACCATTAATGGGATTGCTGGGTCATGTGGAATTTCTATTTCTAGGTCCTTGAGGAATTGCCACACTGTCTTCCACAATGGTTGACCTAATTTGTACTCCCACCAGCAGTGTAAAAGTGTTTTTATTTCTCCACATCCTCTCCAGCATCTATTGTCTCCAGATTTCATAATGATCGCCATTCTAACTGGTGTGAGATGGTATCTCAATGTGGTTTTGATTTGCATTTCTCTAATGGCCAGGGATGATGAGCATTTTTTCATATGTTTGTT